GAGTTCAGGTTTGACATGTTGGGTATCTATTTACTCGCTACAACCTGTGTGTTATATTTTACATAAAAATAGGGCCATTTATTGCTTTTTTGTGCCCTAGAATTAACGTACTTGTATTTTTACTGAAATTTTGCAGCAATATCATACGACATAAAAACTTGGAACTAGCACTTTTATTCTCTCGGGTCTCTGATTTCAGGAAATATCTCATGTTTGGGGGTTTTAGGTCATATTCAGGCCAAAAATGATTTTTTTAATCTTGTGCAAAAAACACAAAAACGGCTCTGGGAGCAAAAGGGATAAAGGATGAGCTGGACACGCCCCTTTCTTGAGGAGCAGCCAAATCGGTGCTCATTACACTGCAAGGTCTCTCCCCTCCCTACTCGTCCCCAGGCGCGGTCCTATAGCCAGGCTGGGGGGGGGGGGGGGGGGAGATAAACAGCACAATGTTAAAAATGTTACACATTTAAGTCGCCATAACCCTCTTTTGTTTTTAAAACATTCCCAATATCACCTCTGATTTAAATATGGTTTTGGTTGAAAACATTTTTTTTCATCTGGACAAGTAGAGGGTCAAGTGGAACACGTAGAGGGTCATGAAGGACAAGTAGAGGGTCATGAGGGACACGTAGAGGGTCAAGTGGGACACGTAGAGGGTCATGAGGGACAAGTAGAGGGTCATGAGGGACAAGTAGAGGGTCAAGTGGGACACGTAGAGGGTCATGAGGGACAAGTAGAGGGTCAAGTGGGACACGTAGAGGGTCATGAGGGTCAAGTAGATGGTCATGAGGGATACATAGAGGGTCATGAGGGACAAGTAGATGGTCATGAGGGATACATAGAGGGTCATGAGGGACAAGTAGAGGGTCAAGTAGATGGTCATGAGGGATACATAGAGGGTCATGAGGGACAAGTAGAGGGTCAAGTAGATGGTCATGAGGGATACATAGAGGGTCATGAGGGATACATAGAGGGTCATGAGGGACAAGTAGAGGGTCAAGTAGATGGTCATGAGGGATACATAGAGGGTCATGAGGGATACATAGAGGGTCATGAGGGACAAGTAGAGGGTCATGAGGGACAAGTAGAGGGTCATGAGGGATACATAGACGGTCTTGAGGGATACATAGACGGTCTTGAGGGACAGGTAGAGGGACACGTAGAGGGTCATGAGGGACAAGTAGATGGTCATGTGGGACAGGTAGAGGGCCATGAGGGACAAGTAGACTGTCTTGAGGGACAAGTACAGGGTCATGAGGGACAAGTACATTGGCGCACCAATTTAGTGCCCAAACAAGTAGTTTTTTAAAAACAATTTCCACACCCCTGTATCATCTTTTATGATCTGTTGAGAGAGATGGTGGCCAGGTGCCTCACAAACGTCCATGACTGACCTGTTAGGGGAAGAAAACTCCACTCGGACTGGATGCCCCCTACGGTGGGAATGACGAGACGACACTCAGTTTAGGGTTAGATCTCTGTAATGTTGTAGCCAAGGATGAGGAGTAACAGCAATGCAGGTTGACCCCCTCATACACACTGTCCCCTCAATCCTCACACAGCCATAATATTAAATATGATCCAGTTCCAATCTTCAGTGCAGGAGAAGCTGCCGCACACTGGTGTGGCCCATATGAAATGTATCATGCAAACCACTAAGGACAACAAAGAAGGTACAAAGGGACTGGAGCAGAGCTGTGGTAGAGAGAGCAAGGGGGTGGAGAGGGAGTAGGGCATGATAAGAGACCAGAGGGTGGCAGAGGACAGAGGGTGAAGGGGGATCAGTAGAATGAAGAAGAAACCGGAGGGTGAAGGGGGAATGAAGCAGAGACCAGAGAGTGAAGAGGGATCAAAGGAATGACGCAGAAATCAGAGGGTGAAGGGGGACCAGAGGGATGGAGCAGAAGTCAGAGGGTGAAAGGGGACCAGAAAAACGGAGCAGAGACCAGAGGGTGAAGGAGGATCAAAGGAATGAAGCAGAGACCAGAGAGTGAAGGGGGGCCAGAGCGTGAAGGGGGGCCAAAAGGGATGGAGCAGAGAGGTCAGGGGGATGGAGCAGAGAGGGCGGGGGGAGTGGTCAGAGGGATGGAGCAGAGAGGTCAGGGGGAGTGGTCAGAGGGATGGAGCAGAGAGGTCCGGGGGAGTGGTCGGGGGGAGTGAAGCAGAGAGGTCAGGGGGAGTGAGATCAGGGGGATAGAGCAGAGAGTTTGAGGGGATGGCGCAGAGAGGTTGGGGGGAGTGGTCAGAGGGATAGAGCAGAGAGGTCCGGGGGAGTGGTCGGGGGGATGAAGCAGAGAGGTCAGGGGGAGTGAGATCAGGGGGATGGAGCAGAGAGGTCGGGAGGATGGGGGAGTGAGGTCGGGAGGATGGAGCAGAGAGGTCGGGGGGGATGGGGGAGTGAGGTCGGGGGGATGGGGGAGTGAGGTCGGGGGGATGGGGGAGTGAGGTCGGGGGGATGGGGGAGTGAGGTCGGGGGGATGGAGCAGAGAGGTCAGGGGGGTGGAGCAGAGAGGTCAGCGGGAGTGAGATCAGGGGGATGGAGCAGAGAGGTCAGGGGGAGTGGTCAGAGGGATGGAGCAGAGAGGTCGGGGGAGTGAGGTCAGGGGGATAGAGCAGAGAGTTTGAGGGGATGGCGCAGAGAGGTTGGGGGGAGTGGTCAGAGGGATAGAGCAGAGAGGTCCGGGGGAGTGGTCGGGGGGGATGAAGCAGAGAGATCAGGGGGAGTGAGATCAGGGGGATGGAGCAGAGAGGTCGGGAGGATGGGGGAGTGAGGTCGGGAGGATGGAGCAGAGAGGTCGGGGGGAGTGAGCAGAGAGGTCAGGGGGAGTGAGATCAGGGGGATGGAGCAGAGAGGTCAGCGGGAGTGAGATCAGGGGGATGGAGCAGAGAGGTCAGCGGGAGTGATCAGGGGGATGGAGCAGAGAGACGGGGGATGGAGCAGAGAGGTCGGGGGGGATAGAGCAGAGAGATCAGCGGGAGTGAGATCAGGGGGAAGGAGCAGAGAGGGGGGATGGAGCAGAGAGATCAGCGGGAGTGAGATCAGGGGGATGGAGCAGAGAGGTCAGCGGGAGTGAGATCAGGGGGATGGAGCAGAGAGGTCAGCGGGAGTGAGATCAGGGGGATGGAGCAGAGAGGTCAGCGGGAGTGAGATCAGGGGGATGGAGCAGAGAGGTCAGCGGGAGTGAGATCAGGGGGATGGAGCAGAGAGGTCAGCGGGAGTGAGATCAGGGGGATGGAGCAGAGAGGGGGGATGGAGCAGAGAGATCAGCGGGAGTGAGATCAGGGGGATGGAGCAGAGAGGTCAGCGGGAGTGAGATCAGGGGGATGGAGCAGATAGGTCAGCGGGAGTGAGGTCTGGGGGATGGAGCAGAGAGGTCAGGGTGAGTGAGGTCTGGGGGATGGAGCAGAGAGGTCAGCGGGAGTGAGATCAGGGGGATGGAGCAGAGAGGTCAGCGGGAGTGAGATCAGGGGGATGGAGCAGAGAGGTCAGCGGGAGTGAGATCAGGGGGATGGAGCAAAGAGGTCAGCGGGAGTGAGATCAGGGGGATGGAGCAGAGAGGTCAGCGGGAGTGAGATCAGGGGGATGGAGCAGATAGGTCAGCGGGAGTGAGGTCTGGGGGATGGAGCAGAGAGGTCAGGTGAGTGAGGTCTGGGGGATGGAGCAGAGAGGTCAGGTGGAGTGAGATCAGGGGGATGGAGCAGAGAGGTCAGCGGGAGTGAGATCAGGGGGATGGAGCAGAGAGGTCAGCGGGAGTGAGATCAGGGGGATGGAGCAGAGAGGTCAGGGGGCAAAGTGCAGTGGGAAGAGCATGTGTTTACAGCAGCAATACAGCATGACTGAACAATGACAGTTGGATTCTTCTCATAGATTAGACAAAGAAATATACATATATGTACATACAGATACAAGGCCTGGGGGGTCCTATGCTCCAGGTGCAGAGGGCCACGCTCTGCTTTGTTCCAGAATTCTACGCAGAGGGTCAGATCGGGATCCAGTTATCGGAGGCTCTCATGTATACATCACACTCACAGATCATCATTTAAAACAGAAAGCAACCAAAATATATACAAATAAAAGTGTATACCTGAAATGCGGGAGGGGGGGAGGGGAAGGGTCATGCGCAGAGCAGGGGGAGGGGCCGGGGGTGGAGTGCAATCTTCTCAGGGTTGTAAACATAAACGGTTTCCTTTACTCGATGTGGAGTGCATAACACTTCATGTAACTTTCTGCCTGTACACAAGGCACTGCCATGGGCACGCACCACAGCCCACTGCACAAGGCACTGCCATGGGCACGCACCACAGCCCACTGCACAAAGGTCAGTTGGGGAGGGAATGAATAAGTATGACATACAATCAAGGGAAGACTTGGAGTGTTAGTCTTCAGCAAGTAGTCAGCAACGCCTGGGGGGGGGGGGATTAGGCAGAGCTTAAAGATTAATGCAGGCCTGGCTTTCTCTACCCCACCCAGTCGTGTTTTTAGAAATGAATTACGCACGCACAAGTCCATTTACATGACTAGCAAAGCAACTGTCCTCTCACTCTTCTCAGCACACAAGGAAATCCTGAAATCAGAGCTTGCTGGGGTTATCCCAGGAAATGTTGAAGAAACGGCATGGGCTGCTGAATCAGTGGGTAGAGGAAAGAGGAAGGAATGGGGAAAGGGAGAGGGGAAAAAATAAATTGGAGCATTTGAGAGGAGGAGTTCCAGGTTTTGGGTTTCCGAAGATGTGGAGCAGGTAACATCCACTGTAACTTCAGAGAGTATCAGGAGCCAGCGAGAGCACCTTACAGACCAGAGTATCAGGATAGACCAGCCTGAACATAGGGGGAGGGGCAGGGGGGGGGGAATCCCAGGAGTGCCCTGCTGGAGGTAACACTGATCCAGAATATGAACATGTCCTGTCTTGCAGGACTTCCCCAGACAGAGGACCTCCCTCTCTCCATAAGACTATCCAGTGACTGACACACAGTTCCACTCGGAGAATCCACGAGGCCTGTTAGAAATACGTATCATCGGTGGAGCCGGTGCCACTCTTGCGTTTGGAGTCAGTGGCCGGGGAAGACGCCTCCTTGCGCCGGAAAGAAATTTTTCTCTCTTTCTTCTGTTTGGCCTCCGATTTCTCCTTCTCTTTCTGAAGTCGCTTTTCTTCTTTTTCTTTTTGTTTTTCCCGCTCTTTCTCCCTTTTCCGCTCACGCTCCCTCTCTTCTCTCTCTTCCTTCTCTCTCTTCCTTTCCCGCTCCCTGTCTTCCTTCTTTTCTTCTGTCGGCTCTTTTTGCTTCTCCTTGCCCTTCTTGGCGGGCTCTTTGGGTGGTCCCAAGGGTGTTTTATTGGCGGTGGGAGAAGGCAGCACAGGATGAAGACCCTCAGATACCACCACAGACTCTGGTGGTTGGAGGGTGAGAGCGGGGACTGGTGGAGGAGAGGGCTTTCGAAGGCTGGATAGGCTGAGCCGGCTGCCACTCAGAGTAGGGTTCATGCGCAGTTTTTCTTCCTGAATTTGGCGGGCCCCGTGTAAGCGGCGTGAAGGGCGATACTGTAACTCTCCTCGGTTTTCTCTCCACTTGCGCAGTTGTGTATTGCTTTCCCTCTCTATAAGAGCATCTGTGACCGCAAGGGAACTCACCTGAAAAATCAAACATAAATGTAAAAAAAATCAAAGAATTCTCCAGGATAAAGCAAAGGCTTTAATACAAAGACTCCCGAACCATCCACCTCCCCCCAACTGCAAGCCTAAGAGGATCCCACCCACTCCATCCCAGGCCTTTCTCACACCTTTACCCCCTCCCTCTACACCACCATCCCAACCCTTAATACTGGGTCCTCACACAACCCTGTAACCTCATAGTACCTCTCCCCAATATATACCTCTCTACCTCTACCTGCCCCATCTCCATCTCCACCACCATCCCAATCCATGATCCATGATACTGGGTCCTCACCCAACCCTCTTAACCTCATAGTACCTCTCCCCGATAACCCCATTGTATACCTCTCCCTCTACCTGCCCCATCTCAATCCCAATCCATGATACTCGGTCCTCACCCATCCCTCTAAATCCCATTGTACCTCTACCCAAAACCTCCATCTCCACCACCAACCGAATCCTTGTTACTGGGTCCTCCCCCATCCCTCTCAACCCCATATTACCTCTACCCAATAACCCCATTATATATTCCTCCCTCTACCTCCTCAATCTTCACCACCATCCCAATCCTTGTTACTGGGCCCTCACCCATCCCTCTAAATCCCACTGCACCTCTACCAAATAACCCTATTATATACCCCTCCCTCTACTTCCTTAATCTCCACCACCATCCCAATCCATGATACTGGGTCCTCATCCATCGTACCTCTACCCAATAACTCCATATCCACCTCCATCCCAATCCTTGTTACTGGGCCCTCACCTATCCCTCTAAATCCAACTGTACCTCTACCCAATAACTCTATTATATATCCCTCCCTCCACCTCCTCCATCTCCACCACCATCCCAATCCCTGTTACTAGGCCCTCACCCATCCCTCTCAACCCCATAGTACCTCTACCCAATAACCCCATTATATACAGTATCCCTCCTTCTACCTCCTCAATCTCCACCACCATCCCAGTCCTTGTTACTGGGCCCTCACCCATCCCTCTCAACCCCATAGTACCTCTACCCAATAACCCCATTACATACTCCTCCCTCTACACCCCCCCCCCAAAAAAAAACCCGAAAACAAGAAATCTGAACTAACCCAAACACCTGAAACGGAGGAAGTGTCAATGGAAAAACTAAAGCAGAAGACACAACACAAAGACTTCTGTAATGTAACACAAAGCAGAAGTAGAGGAGAGATTGTGCGGCGGTAGAGCTGATCAGGACCGGGGAGATGGCAGTCCAAATATAAAAAAGGGAAGAGAAAGGACAACTCTCACCTCTGGCAGGAGAATTTCCTCCTGCATACAGTGAGGTGGAAGGCTCCGTAATTTCTCCATTGTTTCATACATTCCTTGACAGCTCCGCAGCTTGTCCACTGACCCCAGCGTGTGCCGAAGCAACACCAGCCCAACCCGGAAAATTATCTTCACCCCTAAAAGAGAGGAAGAGATCAGCACCTCCTGTGTGTGCAGTGCAGCGCTGTGCCGGTATCACCACACTCACCTTCACAGAAGAACATGTCCCATACACGCAGAACCGAGGACCAAGGAAGAGTACGGGAGAAGATACACATGAACCACTCCGTCATATACAGGATGGGATCAATCTTAAACTTCTTCAGATGTCTGTAAGCCATGGGACAAACCCTGCGCAGCAAGGCAAAGAAAATCTCTCCGTCCAGCTGAATGGCCTCCTGTCAGCAGAGAAATGGGTGTGAGAAACACTGAAAGGACACCAAAGGCTGGGGGAGAAGAAGAGGAAAAGAAGGGAGAGGGAGAAAGAAGGAGGGAGAGAAAGCCTGGACAAATATGGTACTAGCAGAGCCAACACAAGGGATTGGAGGACAGAAGGTGGACAGTCAGTAATGGTGGAGGAGATAGCGAGGATGGGAGGACAGAAGGTGGACAGTCAGTAATGGTGGAGGAGATAGCGAGGATGGGAGGACAGAAGGTGGGCAGTCAGTAATGGTGGAGGTGATGGAGGATCGGAGGACAGAAGGTGGGCAGTCAGTAATGGTGGAGGAGATAGCGAGGATGGGAGGACAGAAGCTGGACAGTCAATCAGTAATGGTGGAGGGAGATAGTGAGGATGGGAGGACAGAAGGTGGACAGTCAGTAATGGTGGAGGAGATAGCGAGGATGGGAGGACAGAAGGTGGACAGTCAGTAATGGTGGAGGTGATGGAGGATCGGAGGACAGAAGGTGGGCAGTCAGTAATGGTGGAGGAGATAGTGAGGATGGGAGGACAGAAGGTGGACAGTCAGCAATGGTGGAGGAGATAGCGAGGATGGGAGGACAGAAGGTGGACAGTCAGTAATGGTGGAGGAGATAGTGAGGATGGGAGGATGGGAAGACAGAAGGTGGACAGTCAGTAATGGTGGAGGAGATAGCGAGGATGGGAGGACAGAAGGTGGACAGTCAGTAATGGTGGAGGAGATAGCGAGGATGGGAGGACAGAAGGTGGACAGTCAATCAGTAATGGTGGAGGAGATAGTGAGGATGGGAGGACAGAAGGTGGACAGTCAGTAATGGTGGAGGAGATAGCGAGGATGGGAGGACAGAAGGTGGACAGTCAGTAATGGTGGAGGAGATAGTGAGGATGGGAAGACAGAAGGTGGACAGTCAGTAATGGTGGAGGAGATAGTGAGGATGGGAAGACAGAAGGTGGACAGTCAGTAATGGTGGAGGAGATGGCGAGGATGGGAGGACAGAAGGTGGACAGTCAGTAATGGTGGAGGAGATGGCGAGGATGGGAGGACAGAAGGTGGACAGTCAGTAATGGTGGAGGAGATGGGAGGATCGGAGGACAGAAGGTGGACAGTCAGCAACGGTGGAGGAGATAGCGAGGATCGGAGGACAGAAGGTGGACAGTCAGCAACGGTGGAGGAGATAGCGAGGATCGGAGGACAGAAGGTGGACAGTCAGCAACGGTGGAGGAGATAGCGAGGATCGGAGGACAGAAGGTGGACAGTCAGCAACGGTGGAGGAGATAGCGAGGATCGGAGGACAGAAGGTGGGACAGTCAGCAACGGTGGAGGAGATAGCGAGGATCGGAGGACAGAAGGTGGACAGTCAGCAACGGTGGAGGAGATAGCGAGGATCGGAGGACAGAAGGTGGACAGTCAGCAACGGTGGAGGAGATAGCGAGGATCGGAGGACAGAAGGTGGACAGTCAGCAACGGTGGAGGAGATAGCGAGGATCGGAGGACAGAAGGTGGACAGTCAGCAACGGTGGAGGAGATAGCGAGGATCGGAGGGACAGAAGGTGGACAGTCAGCAACGGTGGAGGAGATAGCGAGGATCGGAGGACAGAAGGTGGACAGTCAGCAACGGTGGAGGAGATAGCGAGGATCGGAGGACAGAAGGTGGACAGTCAGCAACGGTGGAGGAGATAGCGAGGATCGGAGGACAGAAGGTGGACAGTCAGCAACGGTGGAGGAGATAGCGAGGATCGGAGGACAGAAGGTGTACAGTCAGCAACGGTGGAGGAGATAGCGAGGATCGGAGGACAGAAGGTGGACAGTCAGCAACGGTGGAGGAGATAGCGAGGATCGGAGGACAGAAGGTGGACAGTCAGCAACGGTGGAGGAGATAGCGAGGATCGGAGGACAGAAGGTGGACAGTCAGCAACGGTGGAGGAGATAGCGAGGATCGGAGGACAGAAGGTGGACAGTCAGCAATGGTGGAGGAGATAGCGAGGATCGGAGGACAGAAGGTGGACAGTCAGCAATGGAGGAGGAGATAGCGAGGATCGGAGGGACAGAAGGTGGACAGTCAGTAATGGTGGAGGAGATAGCGAGGATCGGAGGACAGAAGGTGGACAGTCAGTAATGGTGGAGGGGATAGGAGGACAGAAGGTGGACAGTCAGAGGATGACAAGTGGTCAGTCACACAAAGTGGAGGGCAGTCAGTCTGCTCACCAGGCCGGCGCTGTAATATCCTGGCAGATACTTGTCACAGATTTGGACCAAACACCAGAATGCTTGCTGGAGACAAAAACAGGTTGATGAGGCAGAATACAGGGAGAACACAATCCCTGCTGACATCACTGGAAATAATGAACAGAATTATTACCTCCGCTGGCATGTGCATCAGCAATACTGCGGCCACCGGAGCCTGCGCCTGACAGTACCCCTCCTCCGGGCGGTACACCGTGTATGCCTTCAGTATACGGTACAAGTCCTGCTGCCTGTATGAGGGGCAATCACAGCATTATGGGGCCAGGAAACAAGGTGGTAATAATAATATATATACTGCCCATAGGGAGCCCCGATACCTCTCTAGAACGCAACCCGGAATACCACCCTACAATCTACTCAACTCACCTAATATTATCGTCTTAAACTGCCCCCTCCCCACCGTGACTGTATTACCCAACCCACCCCCTTCCACCCAACAATGTGGAACCCAACCCAACAATGCGAAACCCAACCCAACCCTTCCACCCAACAATGTGGAACCCAACAATGCGAAACCCAACCCAACAATGCGGAACCCAACCCAACCCTTCCACCCAACAATGCGAAATCCAACCCAACCCTTCCACCCAACAATGTGGAACCCAACAATGCGAAACCCAACCCAACCCTTCCACCCAACAATGCGAAACCCAACCCAACCCTTCCACCCAACAATGTGGAACCCAACAATGCGAAACCCAACCCAACAATGCGGAACCCAACCCAACCCTTCCACCCAACAATGCGAAATCCAACCCAACCCTTCCACCCAACAACGCAGAACCCAACCCAACCCTTCCACCCAACAATGTGGAACCCAACCCTTCCCCAACAATGCGAAATCCAATCCAACCCTTCCACCTAACAATGTGGAACCCAACCCAACCCTTCCACCCAACAATGCGAAACCCAACCCAAACCTTCCACCCAAAAATGCGAAACCCAACCCTTCCACCCAACAATGCGAAACCCAACCCAAACCTTCAACCCAACAATGCGAAACCCCAACCCACCCCCTTCCACCCAACAATGCGAAACCCAACCCACCCCCTTCCACCCAACAATGCGAAACCCAACCCTTCCACCCAACAATGCAGAACCCAACCCAACCCTTCCATCCAACAATGCGAAACCCAACCCAACCCTTCCACCCAACAATGCGGAACCCAACCCAACCACCCAACAATGCGGAACCCAACCCAACCCTTCCATCCAACAATGCGAAACCCCACCCAACAATGCGAAACCCAACCCTTCCACCCAACAATGCGAAACCCAACCCACCCCCTTCCACCCAACAATGCGGAACCCAACCCTTCCACCCAACAATGCGGAACCCACCCCTTCCACACAACCCGACCCACCCCTTCCATCCAACAATGCGCAACCCAACCCGACCCACCCCCTTCCACCCAACAATGCAAACCCAATCCAAACCCTTCCATCCAACAATGTGGAACCCAACCCAACAATGCGAAAACCCAACCCCACCCTTCCACCCAACAATGCGAAACCCAACCCCACCCTTCCACCCAACAATGCGGAACCCAACCCACCCCCTTCCACCCAACAATGCGGAACCCAACCCACCCCCCTTCCACCCAACAATGCGGAACCCAACCCTTCCACCAAAAACAATGCGGAACCCAACCCTTCCACCAAACAATGCGGAACCCAACCCTTCCACCAAACAATGCGGAACCCAACTCTTCCACCAAACAATGCGGAACCCAACCCACCCCCTTCCACCCAACAATGCGAAACCCAATCCAAACCTTCCACCCAACAATGTGGAACCCAACAATACGGAAGCCAATCCAACCCTTCCACCCAACAATGCAGAACCCAACCCTTCCACCCGACAATGCGGAACCCAACCAAACCCTTCTACACGACAATGCGGAACCCAACCCACCCCCTTCCACCCGACAATGCGGAACCCAACCCTTCCACCAACAATGCGGAACCCAACCCAACCCTTCCACCCAACAATGCGGAACCAAACCCTACCCTTCCACCCAACAATGCGGAACCCACCCAACCCTACCCTTCCACCCAACAATGCGGAACCCAACCCTACCCTTCCACCCAACAATGCGGAACCCAACCCTTCCACCCAACAATGCGGAACCCAACCCTTCCACCCAAACAATGCGGAACCCATCCCACACACTTCCACCCAACGAAACCCAACCCACCGTTTCCACTCAACAATGCGGAACCCAACCCTACCCTTCCACCCAACAATGCGGAACCCAACCCTTCCACCCAACAATGCGGAACCCAACCCACCCCCCCCATCCACCAAACAATGCGGAACCCAACCCTTCCACCCAACAATGCGAAACCCAACCCAACCCTTCCACCCAACAATGCGAAACCCAACCCTTCCACCCAACAATGCGAAACCCAACCCTTCCACCCAAACAATGCGAAACCCAACCCTTCCACCCAACAATGCGAAACCCAACCCTTCCACCCAACAATGCGAAACCCAACCCTTCCACCCAACAATGCGAAACCCAACCCTTCCACCCAACAATTCAAAACCCAACCCTTCCACCCAACAATGCAAAACCCCAACCCAACCCTTCCACCCAACAATGCAGAACCCAACCCGACCCACCACTTCCACACAACCCGACCCACCCCTTCCATCCAAAAATGCGCAACCCAACCCACTCCTATCACCCAACAATGCGAAACGCAACCCGACCCACCCCCTTCCACCCAACAATGCGGAACCCAACCCGACCACCCCTTCCACACAACCCGACCCACCCCTTCCATCCAACAATGCGCAACCCAACCCGACCCACCCCTATCACCCAACAATGCGGAACCCAACCAGACCCACCCCCTTCCATCCAACAATGCGGAACCCAACTCGGCCCACCCCCTTCCACCCCAACAATGCGGAACCCATCCCACACACTTCCACCCAACGAAACCCAACCCACCGTTTCCACTCAACAATGCGGAACCCAACCCACCCCTTCCACCCAACAATGCGGAACCCAACCCACCCCTTTCAAACAACAATGCGGAACCCAACCTACCCCTTCTAAACAAAATTGCGGAACCCAACCCACCCCTTCCACCCAACAATGCGGAATCCAACCCACCCCCCTTCTACCCAAAAAATACGGAACCCAACCCACCCCCCTTCCACCCAACAACGCGTAACCCAACCCACCCCCTTCCAACCAACAATGTGAAACCCAACCCACAACTTTTACCAAACAATGCAGAACCCACCCCACCCCCCCCCACCCCTTATAACAAACAATGCGGAACCCAACCCACCCCTTCCACCCAATAATGCGGAACCCAACCCAACCCACCCCTTTCACACCCAATAATGCGGAACCCAACCCACCCAACAATGCGGAACCCACACTTTCCACCCGACAATGCGGACCCAACCCACCCCTTCCACCCAACAATGCGGAACCCATCTCACCCACTTCCACCCAGCAATGCAGAACCCAACCCACCCCCCTTCCACCTAAAATTGTAGAACCCAATTCCACCCCCTTCAACACAACTAGTGACCTTTTGCCCAATTCTTTGGATCCCAACACATCCCCCTTCCTACCAACACTTCAAAACAACACTCGCCCCCACACCCAACCTGCCCTTTCCTTCACTCCAGAATGCCACCCCTACCTACCTCCTGCACCACCCAGACTACCACCTGGTCCCCCTCAGACCCCCATTCTACAAGCCTCCCACCTCCAACAGTCTTCCCACCTCACATTCTGTTCGCCTCAGATCACCATCCCCCACCATGCCTCGTACTCCCAAGTCAATTCCTGCCTCAGGACATCCCATCTCATCTCCTTCCCACCACAGACCATGTTCCTGATCCAACCCCACCTCCGACTAACAACCCCAACTCACCCATGGCCCCCACGTGCAGCAAACATTTCATGGAATGGGAACTGTCGGTGCAGATCCTTCTCTATCACATCCAGCCACTTGGGGTCTCCAGGGTGCCTCTCCAACTCCTGCAACACACCAATTATACACAGCTTAGGGAGGATAGAGCACACCGACATCATACTGAGGGCGGAGCACGCCGACCGACATCATACTGAGGGCGGAGCACACCGACATCATACTGAGGGCGGAGCACACCGACATCATACTGAGGGCGGAGCACACCGACATCATACTGAGGGCGGAGCACACCGACATCATACTGAGGGCGGAGCACACACGACATCATACTGAGGGCGGAGCACACCGACATCATACTGAGGGCGGAGCACACCGACATCATACTGAGGGCGGAGCACACCGACATCATACTGAGGGCGGAGCACACCGACATCATACTGAGGGCGGAGCACACCGACATCATACTGAGGGCGGAGCACACTGGAGGGAATTACCTCGAACTTCCCCGGGTTCTTGTTGAGGAGTTGGTAACTGCTGGAGAGGTATTGCCACGCACGCGCCCCGCAGAGAAGATGGGATCCCTTTTCTACATCGCAGCTTCACCTGTACATGAGAGAGAAGGGAGGATAGAGATGACTGGGCAGAACTACTGACCTGCAGGGTGCGCTCCCCTATAGGTGGCCGACATAGTCCTCACCTTCTGGAAGCGCCGGCTCAGCCACTTCTCCCAATGATTGAACATGTCCAGCCACTTCAGCTCCCTCTGCCGGGCAATCTCCACAGAGGTGCAACCCTCCCTGCAAGAGGAAAACCATCATCACCGTCTATTCCCGATCATCGTCATCCTGATCCCGACCATCGTCATCCCAATCCCATCATCCTCATCCCGATATCATCATCTCGATCCCGACCATCATCATCCCGATCATCGTTATCCCACTCCCAACCATCACCATCCAAGTCTCAACCATTGCCGCCCCACTCCCAACCATCACCATCCAAGTCTCAACCATTGCCGCCCCACTCCCAACCATCACCATCCAAGTCTCAACCATTGCCGCCCCACTCCCGACCATCACCATCCAAGTCTCAACCATTGCCGCCCCACTCCCGACCATCACCATCCAACACAACCATTGCCGCCCCACTCCTGACCATCACCATCCAACACTCAACCATTGCCGCCCCACTCCCGACCATCACCATCCAACACAAACCATTGCCGTCCCACTCCCGACCATCACCATCCAACACTCAAACCATTGCCGCCCCACTCCCGACCATCACCATCCAACACAACCATTGCCGCCCCACTCCCGACCATCACCATCCAACACAACCATTGCCGCCCCACTCCCGACCATCACCATCCAACACAACCATTGCCGTCCCACTCCCGACCATCACCATCCAACACTCAACCATTGCCGCCCCACTCCCGACCATCCCCCCACCATCCATCCAACACAACCATTGCCGTCCCACTCCCGACCATCACCATCCAACACTAACTCAGAGCCGCCCCACTCCCGACCATCACCATCCAACACAACCATTGCCGCCCCACTCCCGACCATCACCATCCAACACTACTCAGAGCCGCCCCACTCCCGACCATCACCATCCAACACTCAACCATTGCCGCCCCACTCCCGACCATCACCATCCAACACTCAACCATTGCTGCCCCACTCCCGACCATCACCATCCAACACTACTCAGAGCCGCCCCACTCCCGACCATCACCATCCAACACAACCATTGCCGCCCCACTCCCGACCATCACCATCCAACACAACCATTGCCGCCCCACTCCCGACCATCACCATCCAACACTCAACCATTGCCCCCCACTCCCGACCATCACCATCCAACACAACCATTGCCGCCCCCACTCCCGACCATCACCATCCAACACTCAACCATTGCCGCCCCACTCCCCGACCATCACCATCCAACACAACCATTGCCGCCCCACTCCCGACCATCACCATCCAACACAACCATTGCCGCCCCACTCCCGACCATCACCATCCAACACAACCATTGCCGCCCCACTCCCGACCATCACCATCCAACACTCAACCATTGCTGCCCCCACTCCCGACCATCACCATCCAACACTACTCAGAGCCGCCCCACTCCCGACCATCACCATCCAACACAACCATTGCCGCCCCACTCCCGACCATCACCATCCAACACTACTCAGAGCCGCCCCACTCCCGACCATCACCATCCAACACAACCATTGCCGTCCCACTCCCGACCATCACCATCCAACACTCAACCATTGCTGCCCCACTCCCGACCATCACCATCCAACACTACTCAGAGCCGCCCCACTCCCGACCATCACCATCCAACACAACCATTGCCGCCCCACTCCCGACCATCACCATCCAACACTACTCAGAGCCGCCCCACTCCCCCACCATCACCATCCAACACACTCAACCATTGCTGCCCCACTCCCGACCATCACCATCCAACACTACTCAGAGCCGCCCCACTCCCAACCATCACCATCCAACACAACCATTGCTGCCCCACTCCCGACCATCACTATATCTCTCCCCCCAAAGAGGACCTGTCACTATATCTCATTGTCCCCCCCTCCCGACCCATATCTCTCCAAAAGAAGACCCCCACTAATTATGTCTCATTGTCCATCCCCCCATATCTCTCCATAAAGTGGACCTGTCACTAATTATGTCTCATTGTCCCCCCCCCCCCCACTCTCTCCATAAAGCTGCCCCAGGACCTGTCACTAATTATGTCTCATTGTCCCCCCCCCCCCATATCTCTCCATAAAGAGGACCCACTCACTAATAATGTCTCATTGTCCCCCCCCCCCCCCCCCATATCTCTCCATAAAGAGGACCTGTCACTAATTATGTCTCATTGTCCCCCCCCCCCCATATCTCTCCATAAAGAGGACCTGTCACTAATTATGTCTCATTGTCGTCATCGTCCCCATATCTCTCCATAAAGAGGACCTGTCACTAATTATGTCTCATTGTCCCCCCCCCCCCCCCATATCTCTCCATAAAGAGGACCTGTCACTAATTATGTCTCATTGTCCCCCCCCCCCATATCTCTCCATAAAGAGGACCCGTCACTAATTATGTCTCATTGCCCCCCCCCCCCCCTATATCTCTATAAAGAGGACCCGTCACTAATTCTATCACAGGGGAGGATTTGCATCCCCCCCATAGGAATAAAAGTGATTCAACATTTTTTTTTTTTTTTTAAAAGGGACCGTCACTAAAACACCGGGGACAGACCCTCCCCCCCCATATCCCCATGGGACCCTGTCACCGGGGACAGGCCCCCCGCTCCCTGGGTCCATAAAGGGGACCCCTCCGCTCCCTGGGTCACCGTCTCATTGCCCCCCCCTCCCCACCGGGGACAGATCCCTCCATCCCTGGGGACCGGGGACAGAATTATGTCCCATTGGTCACCCCAGACCCCCCTCCATAAAGAGGACCTCTCCTGGGTCAGTTGTCCCCCCCCCCATATCTCTCCATAAAGAGACCCCCCACTAATGGGTCACCGAGGACAGACCCCCCCCCCTATCTCTCCGGGGACAGACCCCCCTGCTCCCTGGGTCACTAATTAGGTCCCATTGTCCCCCCCCCCCTGGGTCTCCGGGGAGGACCTGACCCTAATTGCTCCCTGTCTCATTGACAGACCCCCCCCATATCCCTGGGTCAAGGACAGACCCCCCACTCCCTGGGTCACCGAGGACAGACCCCCCCCCTCCCTGGGTCATAAAGAGGACAGGCCCTCCGCTCCCTGGGTCACCGGGGACAGGCCCCCCGCTTATGTCTCTCACAGGGGACAGACCCTCCTTGTCCCTGGAATAAAAGTGGAAACCCCCCGCTTTTTGGGTCAAAGGGACAGCCCCCCGCTCCCTGGGTCACCGGGGACAGACCCCCCCCGCTCCCTGGGTCACCGGGGACAGACCCCCCGCTCCCTGGGTCACCGGGGACAGACCCTCCGCTCCCTGTGGGTCACCGGGGACAGACCCCCCGCTCCCTGGGTCACCGGGGACAGACCCCCCGCTCCCTGGGTCACCGGGGACAGACCCCCCCGCTCCCTGGGTCACCGGGGACAGACCCCCCGCTCCCTGGGTCACCGGGGGCAGACACCTCCATCCCTGGGTCAAGGAAGACCATCCCCCGCTTACATGAGAGGTGAACACGCAGACCTATCCTGACATCTATATACACTGCTGTAGCCCCTCCTCCATGGCGGGTGAGTTAGTTCTCCCCATACTGACCCGTTGCCGCTGTACTGGCTTCCTCCGAGGAACCCGTACTTGTCGGTCTTCCGGTAGGGCATGCCGTTGATCTCAGAGTCGGAGCCCAGTGAGCTGGCATCATCCAGGTGAGTGAGGGACTCCAGTGTGCCGGACATCAGGCTGACAGAGTCCAGGTAGCTGAGTGTGTCCGGAGCGGGGGCCTTGGACCTGAAGCTGGACAGAGAGGCGGTCTCATGACTGAGAGAAGGCTCATGCTCCCGAATAGAAGGGGTGTGGCCAGGATAGAGGGAGGACCTGGGTGGAATGGGAATTGGGGGTTTGGCAGACATATTCCTATGAGGACTTGAAGGGTCATTGATACGACTTGGAGACAGGGACGTCCCCAGCTGGGCGGGAGGTGGACCCATGGAGGAAGGGGTGGAATTCTGGTCACTGACAATGCCAGGCAAAGCCTTCTTCTCTGTAGTGCCCTGCTGCTGAGGGAGAGTGGAGGAACCGGGTGATCCAATCACAGCGCCCGGTGGGGAAGCCGCGGAGCTCTGTGAGGAGCCATCAGGAAGGGTGCTCGCTGGTGGGGCTCTAATGTCCGGGATAGGAGAGTTCTGTGCTGCTGGCTGCTCTGTGGACGTCGTACCGAGGGGTACGGAGGGGACATTCTGCTCGCCATGTGTTGGAGGCTCAGTGGAGAGCGGGCCCTGTGTCATTGAAGGAGGGGGCCCCATTTTCCCAGCTGAGGTATCAAGGGCAGACATCACATAGGTCGCTACTGACACTTCTTCAGAATGCAGGAGTGACGCCACAGCGCCCTGAGCCCGCTGCCCACCATCTTGTGGCACCTCCTGTGTCTCCTTTATTGCCGTATTATCGGACAGTTCAGATGTTCTTTGGCCCCGAGATGGAACGAGGTATACTGGGGCGTCCTGTGGGGGCGGTACCCTCTGCTCGTGGTGTGCTGAGGTGTCCTGCGGGGGCGGTACCCTCTGCTCATGGTGTGCTGAGGTGTCCTGCGGGGGCGGTACCCTCTGCTCATGGTGTGCTGAGGCGTCCTGCGGGGGCGGTACCCTCTGTCAGCTGTGTGCCCATGGTGTGCTGAGGCGTCCTGCGGGGGCGGTACCCTCTGTTCAGCCGTGTGCTCATGGTGTGCTGAGGTGTCCTGCGGGGGCGGTACCCTCTGTTCAGCCGTGTGCCCATGGTGTGCCGGGGCATCCTGCGGAGGCGGTACCCCCTGCTCAGCCGTGTGTGCCCATGGTATGCTGGGACGCCCTGCGGGGGCGGTACCCTCTGTGCAGCCATCTGCTCTGAGGTTACCTCGCCCGTGATCTGTATTGCACTTCCCTCCCCTGAAGGTGGTATTGGGGTGACCGCTGGAAATGGGGCTCTCCGTCCAATGTTATTGTGGGTGGGAGGAGAGGCGGGGCCCCCCAGGGTTTCTGGGGCTTTTCTTGGCATTACCCACACAGGTCTGATCAGGGGAGTTTTTCTTGGAGAGTCCCTCGGGGGTGGGGTCAGCTCATCATAAGGTGGATTGCTGACATCAGTGACTTTTGCCCGGCTCTCTGGAGTGGTGTACGGTGGTGGTCTGGGCCCCAGATCCGGCACACTGGTGTTACTCACAGCTGCTGGGGGCCCTTGGCTCTCTAACGTTGTCTCTTGTGGTGGTAGGGGCCCCGGATCCAGCACAGTGGTGGTACTGCTAATCGGTGGGGGCTCCTGGCTCTCTGTCACTGTGTATTGCGGTGGTAGGGGCCCTGGCTCTGGCTTTCCGGTGGTACTCCCAGGTGGTGGGGGCCCCTGGATTTCGGTAATAGTGTACTGTAGAGGTAGGGGCCCCGAATTCGACCCCCTGATGGTCCTTTCAGGCGGTGGAGGCCTCTTGCTTTCAGTAATGTTGTATTGCGAAGGTAGAGGTCCCGGATCCGGCCCTCTGATGGCCCTCCCAGGTGGTGGGGGCCCCTGGCTTCTTGTGATGGTGTATTGCAGTGGTAGGGGCCCCGGATCTGGCCCTTCAGTGGTCCTCCCAGGCGGTGGGGGCCCCTGGCTCTTAGTAATTATGTATTGCGGTGGTAAGGGCACCGGATCTGGTACAGTGGTGGCCCTCCAAGGCATTGGGGGCCCCTGGCTCCCTATGACAGTGTAATGTGGTGGTAGGGGCCCCGGATCTGGCCATTCAGTGATCCTCCCAGGCGTTGGGGGCCCCTGGCTCTCAGTAATGATGTATTGCGGTGGTAGGGGCCCCGGATCGGGTACACTGGTGGCCCTTCCAGGCGGTGGGGGCCCTGTGATGGTATAATGTGGTGGTAGGGGCCCCGGATCCGGCCCTTTGGTGGTCCTCCCAGGCGTTGGGGGCCCCTGGCTCTCAGTAATAGTGAATTGTGGGGGTAGGGGCCCCTGATCAGGTACAGCGGTGGCCATCCCAGCCATTGGGGGCCCTGTGATGGTGTATTGCGGTGGTAGGGGCCCCGCATCCAGCCATTCGGTGGCCCTCCCAGGTTGTAGGGGCCCCTGGCACTCTGTTTCCATAGACTGTGGGGGTGGAGAGGCCTTCTGAGGCCCCAAGCTGGTCTCCTCTGTGGCTCCCGGGCCGGGGGAGGCCATGGACCGGCCCTCCATGACGATAAGCACTCTCTGGGTGACTGTGGCCCTCTCTGGGGTCCCTGGCTGTGCTCCGGGGCCCCTGCCCTCGCTGGGCTCTCTCTGGGGCCGGCGCTCCATGGAGCCCTTCCGGGGAGGCGGTACAGGCCGGGGGCCCCGGTGGGGAGGAGCAGGGCCCGGGCGGAGGAGGCTCCATGTCGGGGCTCTGCGGCGCTCACCGGCCCAAATGACAGCGGAGAGAAACCACCAATCCCTGACGAGCCCTGCCAAAGCCTCGACCAATCAACAAGCGGCAGGAAGAGGGCGGGGACCGAGATCAAGCCAATCTGAGTATGTATCATGTATGACTGTCTGAGTACGAATGTAATAGGAATGTTGATTGGATAAAAGGTAAAGCCAACCGACCAATCAGAGGTAGGATGAGTGTAGGGCGCAGAAGGGCGGAGCCCGGAACCAGGAAAAGGAAGTAGTGGTCTCCGGAATAAGGGCGGAGTCTCAGCCAATCAGCGTTCAGCTCTAGGCCGCCTGCCCAATTAGCTCCAAGAGGAGGGACAAACAAGGAAGTGGGGTGAGGTTCTCTTTCAAAAACTTTATTTACAAAACCGAATATGAACAGAGCGGATGTGACTGAAGGCTCGTCCCCACACTAAAACTAGCCCCTCCCCTAAAATCACCCCAAACTATAAATTCCCAATCTGTGTAAACCCCACCCCAATATATACCCCTTCCCCATATACTCCCCCAATATATACCCCCCTACACCCCCAAATATACCCCTCTCTGCACCCCAATATGTACCCCTTCCCCATATACTCATCCCCCAATATATACCCCCTACACCCCCAAACATACCCCCTCCCTGCACCCCAATATATCCCCCTTCCCATATACTCCCCCAATATATACCCCCTACACCCCCAAACATTCCCCCTCCCTGCACCCCAATATGTACCCCTTCCCCATATACTCCCCCCAATATATACCCCCTACACCCCCCAAATATACCCCTCCCTGCACCCCAATATATACCCCTTCCCCATATACTCATCCCCCAATATATAACCCCTACACCCCCAAATATACCCCCTCCCTGCACCCCAATATATACCCCTTCCCCATATACTCCCCCAATATATACCCCCTACACCCCAAACATACCCCCTCCCTGCACCCCAATATATACCCCCCCTTCCCATATACTCCCCCAATATAAACCCCAAAATATACCCCTCCCTGCACCCCAATATATACCCCTTTCCCATATACTCATCCCCCAATATATACCCCCTACACCCCCAAAATACCCCCTCCCTGCACCCCAATATATATACCCCTTTCCCAAAATACTCCTCCCCCAATATATACCCCCTACACCCCCCAAACATACCCCATCCCTGCACCCCAATATATACCCTTTCCCATATACTCCTCCCCCAATATATACCCCCTACACCCCCAAAAATACCCCCTCCCTGCACCCCAATATATACCCCTTTCCCATATACTCATCACCCAATATATACCCCCCACACCCCTATATACCCCACTACCCCATATACCCCCCACATCCCTATATACCCCATATACCCCCCACATCCCTGTATACCCCATATACCCCCCCACACCCCTATATACCCCATATACCCCCCACACCCCTATATACCCCATATACCCCACACCCCTATATACCCCATATACCCCCCACACCCCCTATATACCCCATATACCCCCACACACCCCTATATACCCCATATACCCCCCACACCCCTATATACCCCATATACCCCCCACACCCCTATACCCCCCACCCCCTATATACCCCATATACCCCCCCACACCCCTATATACCCCCCACACCCCTATATACCCCATATACCCCCCACACCCCTATATACCCCCCACACCCCTATATACCCCATATACCCCCACACCCCTATATACCCCCCACAACCCTATATATACCCCATATACCCCCCACACCCCTATATACACTTCTATATGTACCATACCCCTTAGGATTTGCTGAGGTTTGGCTCCCCTAAAGCTCTGCACAGCCAGGCCACACCCACTTCTGCCACTCGCTGTACTCAGAGTCAGTCCTTGAGCTGGTTTTATTTAGGGGTTTAGAACTTGGATGGGGCTGAGGGGCGTATGGGGTGTCAGGGGACAAATAGCCTCTCCTATGAGGGCATTCCAGCTCTCTGGTGTACCTCCTCAGCCCCAGATGAATCCTCCCCACACCCCAGATGAATCCTCCCCACACCCCAGATGAATCCCTCAGACCCCAGATGAATCCTCCCCAGACCCCAGATGAATCCTCCTCAGACCCCGGATGAATCCTCCCCAGACCCCAGATGAATCAACCTCAGACCCCAGATGAATCCTCCCCAGACCCCAGATGAATCAACCTCAGACCCCAGATGAATCCTCCCCAGACCCCAGATGAATCCTCCTCAGACCCCAGATGAATCCTCTTCAGACCCCAGATGAATCCTCTTCAGACTCCAGATGAATCCTCAGACATCAGATGAATCTTCCTCAGACCCCAGATGAATCCTCAGACCCCAGATGAATCCTCCCCAGACCCCAGATGAATCCTCCCAGACTCTAGATGAATCCTCCCCAGACATCAGATGAATCCTCTTCCCAGACTCCAGATGAATCCTCCTCTTCACCCAGCCGTACTGAGGGCATTCCACCCTCTCTGGTGTACCTCCCCAGACCCCAGATGAATCCTCCCCAGACCCCAGATGAATCCTCTTCAGACCCCAGATGAATCCTCCTCAGACCCCCGATGAATCCTCCCCAGACCCCAGATGAATCCTCTTCAGACCCCAGATGAATCCTCCTCAGACCCCAGATGAATCCTCCCCAGACCCCAGATGAATCCTCCCTAGACCCCAGATGAATCATCCTCAGACCCCAGATGAATCCTCCCCAGACCCAGAATGAATCCTCCTCAGACGCCAGATGAATCCTCTTCAGATCCCAGATGAATCCTCCTCAGACATCAGATGAATCCTCCTCAGATCCCAGATGAATCCTCCTCAGACCCCAGATGAATCCTCCCCAGACCCCAGATGAATCCTCCCAGACCCCAGATGAATCCTCCTCAGACATCAGATGAATCCTCCTCAGACCCAGATTAATCCTCCTCAGACCCCAGATGAATCCTCCTCAGACCCCAGATTAAATCCTCCTCAGACCCCAGATGAATCCTCCCCAGACCCCAGATGAATCCTCCTCAGACCCAGATGAATCCTCCTCAGACCCCAGATGAATCCTCCTCAGACCCCAGATGAATCCTCCTCACCCCAGATGAATCCTCCTCAGACATCAGATGAATCCTCCTCAGACCCCAGATGAATCCTCCCAGACCCCAGATGAATCCCCCCCAGACCCCAGATGAATCCCCCTCAGACATCAGATGAATCCTCCTCAGACCCCAGATGAATCCTCCTCAGACCCCAGATGAATCCTCCCCAGACCCCAGATGAATCCCTTCAGACCCCAGATGAATCCTCCTCAGACCCAGATGAATCCTCCTCAGACCCCAGATGAATCCTCCTCAGACCCCAGATGAATCCTCTCCCAGACCCCAGATGAATCCTCCCAGAAATCAGATGAAATCCTCCTCAGACCCCAGATGAATCCTCCTCTGAAGAATTCCCCAGATGAATCCTCCCCAGACCCAGATGAATCCTCCTCACCAGAAATCAGATGAATC